GATGGCTCGTATCTGTCGACCACTTACGATTCCCTTAACCGCCGCTATCTACTCGATGTTCTATGTGGTCGGTGTCCGGTTCTGCTCGACCACCGGTCCAGTATATAATATCCCATATCAAGGTGATTCTCCCAACAAGAATTTTCTGCATCCACAAAGACTCGAACTCGAAATCTTGCTTAAGCGGCATCAAGTTGCTTACCACTTGATGAAAATTAAACGCAATCCATTAAGGTAGTGCTTGGATATAATGTGTTATTGGATTTTTCCAATTACAATCAAATTTGTGTTAAACATAAGTTACTTAATATTATCAATATAATAATTATATTACATTAAATTTAATTTATTATTTGTCCATTCACATAATTTTAACTATAAATCACTTATAATCATATCTCTCATACTTATATATCAAATTAACTTTCATTATTTTATTTTAAATGTTATTTTAACCCAAACTAAAAATCTCATTCATACATAACTCAATCACCTTTATCAAAGACAACTCTAGTTAGCCAAAAAAAAAATCAATCAAACCAAAAATATTCAATCAAAATCTTTTATCCAAACACAACCTTAGAGCATCTCCAATGTGAGATGTTGATTTAATAAAATGTTAGCTAAATCATCAAGTTAAAAAGTGAATAAAAAAATTACTCTCCAATCCATAATGTTATGGGTTCTTTTATGATGACATGGAGAAAATAAATTTCCAAAGACAGCCCACTTTCTAGTTTTCCAAAGAGTGTTAGAAAGTCACTAGTACAGAGCCCGTGCGATGCAGGGGATGGACAATTTTAAGGCTATTTATCCAGGCTTATAACTAATACGAATCTCGTACGATGCATGAGTAAGAAATATTCAATAATATTTATAATTATAAATTCTCATTAAATAATATTTATAAATTAAAGATACAAAATCAATATGTAATACAATTCACCTACTCTAATTTATTAAAAATTGTATATAAAATTTAGATTATGGAAAATGTCAATTTGAACAACAAAGTTGATTGTCTAATCTTTGGCTTCTCTAGTTTTGTTTTTATGTTGTGAATACATGTGATTCCTATCATTTTGAAAAAAAAAAGAAATAAATCTTTGGCTTTGCCTAAATATTGGCTTACCGTTGTTAAATAATTGAATCCAAAGTCTGGCTAATGCACAAATGCAATTCTAATGTGTTGATTTACAAAATATCAAGTCCACGTTAAAATTAATAATGCCCATAATATGCAATAAATTTTTTTTTTTTTTTACAATTAACTCTTGACTGATAGAACAAAATAGAATACAAAAGAGTACCAGAACCACCCAATCTAAATTTTACAAAACTTTAACTCAGATAGCCACCCCAAACCAAACAGAACAATTACTCAGCTAAAAAGAAGTAAAAACATAAACAACTCTAAAAAAGAAGACCAAAGGCACAACTCTATTGAAAAGAAAAAACTAAACTGCAGCACTAACAGAGAGGAATAAAAGCTAAACCCCCACTAAGAACAAAAATTAAACAAAAGCATGTACATCAGGTATTAAGAAAAATCACTGGAAACAACAGTTTCCCTAGTCCATCAGCACCTACCAGAAGCAAAAAAAACCCCAACAAAAGCCAACCAGACCCTCATGGGAAAGTCGCCTCGAGCAACCAACAAACCGCACGACCAAAAAAGTACTTGAGGAAAACAGATATTGAGAAACCACTTAAATCCACTGATTTCCTAGCCAACAACATCCAACAAAACAAGCAGAGGAAGAAACAAAATTACAAAGGAGAGCCATAAAAAATTCCCTCGAACTCCAACCACTCTCTCGAAGCAACAAAAACGATTTGTGGCCATCTTTTATGTCTCAAGTCTCAATTGCTGAAAAGTAATATAAAAAGAAGTCAAAGAAGTTTTGTTTGTGATGCCATCAAAAATTTCAACTTCACATCATACGGTAATGAGAATGACGAATGAAAAAATTGATTTAAAAAAACAATATTTTTCTATTGGGCATCTTAAAAATTAACTAAAATTTGAATATCTATTAATGTGCAAACAGGCATAGAACAAAATGAAAAGAAGACTTGTAATACTTTCAAGAATTTGAACATTTTATAATACATTTTTCAGCAAATGTCGTAAAGAGGAGAAAACAGAGCTTTGCACCAAGAAATAATAATTCTTTTTTTGGCTTTTCTTTTCCCGCGGTCCATAGCAAACTCCTGTCATGGGACTGTATATCAACATTCATATTAAACAATTTGCTCATCGTATTCAACAATTGGCTCTGGCGATTGTCCAGGATCTAATCTCGTAAGCACTTCAGGTAATCCAGTTGTATCTCTTGTAATCTTCATTATGCATCAGAATGTTACAAAAGCGATGTATTGGAGATAAATAAAGAACTCTAATGAGGACTTAAGATTACCAGAATTTTCAATGCGTGAAGACCGATCAGTTTTTTCTTATATTCGAGAACTAAATAATTTTATATATTTGCTAAAAATATGGTTCGTATTTGTTTGTTTCTCGAGTCCATTAAGTTGCATGTGCATTACACTTGCAACCACTTAGGAAAATTTAATCGTCTATTGACAATTTAAATTTAGCATTATTCGATTGAAATCACGTTCTTTTGCCCCTACACAGTGCCCAATAAGTGATTATTTAAAACTTACTAACCTCGTCCATATCGGTTAAGGTCCTAACCACAACTGCATCCCCTCATAATAGATAAATTACCAGTGAAAACACGTATACATTCTAAGAAGCCCTTACTATTTACCAAGCAATTCATAACCATAATCAAGAATCGAAAAATAATTGCAACCAACCAGATACAATGTAACATAACTTTCTCAAATCCCAAAGCCCAAAATCCAGAAATATTAGCATTTGTAATGTGATCTGAAATGGGATAGAGGCCATGACAAATTCTCCAGTTTCACCATGAACCATCGAGTCACCTTTTTTGAAATTTTTTCAGCCAATTTATGCCTAAAACCGTCATTATTTACATCCTGCACGAACAAATATCGAGATTATTTTATCACCATAATCCACAACAACCACATAAACAGGTACAAAGCACAATCAAAGTGCGTAAAAATTAGGGCATATAAAGAAAAAGAACAAATTTTTACCCACTTCTTTTGCACCGCTGCCACCCCAAACCTGTCACGCCCGTCATCCAGCGGAAGTGCTACCTCCATCTCCCCCACCAGAAACACCATGTTCATTCTCTACTCCGCGTAGATCGGCCACCCGATCATCGGCAGCCCGCACATCACAACCTCCAAGATGGAGTTCTGGCCGCATTGGGTTAAGAATTCAACCACCGCGTGTTCCAACACCACTCTATGTGGGGCCAACGACTTTATCACGAAAGTCTTGCCTCCGTCCTCCCCATAAACCCTCCGACAACAATTTGCAGATCAAACACATAAATTATTTCTCAGCCACATAAAAAATGGAGGCAAAAATAAAATCCAATAATTACACCAACCAATTGACAATTGCAATTTGCACATAAAAAAATATTATAAAAAAACAATGAATTTACCCTGACGAACCCGCCGTACTTTATCATCTGCCGAAATTTATCGAATTTGACCCTCTCGTCGCCACCTAAGTCGACCCTTAACGATCATACTCTAGTACTCCTTCGGCGTCTTCAGCTACTTCAACCCCAACGCCGCCAACACCTACTTCAGCTCATCCGCCGTGATGAACCCGCCTTGTCCCGATCAAAAATCTTAAATGCCTCCCGAACGTCCTCTTCACGGTCGTCCCCCTCGTCGCCTCTGCCGTCTGCCATCAACACCGCGCATAGGGCGCTGAACTCCTTGGCATCTCCGTGGGCGTCAATATTCCCGATCATCGCCCGGAGTTTTTCCTCCGACACGCAGATCCCGAGATTTTCTAACGACTCGCTGAGCTCATCCCGGTTGATGTTGTTGTCGCCGTCCATCGAGCTTGGAGAAGACCTGATGGAGCTTCGTCGTGCCCATCTCCTCATCTGCAACCCTAATTGGAGAATTTGTTGGATTTGATTTTCATAGTCATTTAAGTTTTCACAAAACAATTTTGGTAGAGATGGCGAGAATGATACATTTGATTTTGATCTGTCAGTAAAATTTTCACCCTATAAAAATATTTTATTGGAAGATAATTTGGAGAATCTCGTATATACGTATGCCAAAATAAACGTGTTGGAAGAGATTTTAAATAATCTGCGATATACGCATACTAAAATAAATTTGTAGTAGTCAATAGTTTCTTTAAATATTTGACCTTAATTTTGACTGAAATTTTTCATAACATGTTAGAGCGGCATTCTAAAAATTTTTGAAAAAAAAATTACTTAGTTTAGTAAGTCTGAAATTTTTAGGCGGGAATTTAGTTGTTATTTCAGGTAAATGCCAAACTTTTTATATTTATATAGATATCATAAAAAGTCTAACATATTTCACATTGATTTCCTTTTTAAATTTTTTTAGCTTATTTATTATTAAATTAAATAAAATCCACATGTACTTCTTTTAATGTTTTGAAAGGGATGCATTGGAGATGTTCATTCCAAATTAAAGTCTTTTCTTTTGACATTTATATTACATGGATTTACATTCTATTCATTATTTGACATGTGTTCAAATTTAATTAATGTTGAAAATTGAGCATTGGAGATGCTCTAAGAGCATCTCCAATTTTGGTAATTTACATCGCATGTTGGTAATTTAGAGCTTCATTGAATATAAGTTATTTTGGATTTGATTTATTTATGGAATTAAGTGAGTTAAAAGTTAAGTAAAGTTGATTGAGTTTGGTTTGATTGAGATTTTGAATTTATATTTAAATAAAATTTTAAAATTTAAATATAATAATTAAAGTTGATGTGGTGTAAACGTATAGGAGAGATATTGAAAATGAGGGTAGTTAAACTTAAGTGAGTGAATAAATATTGAATTAAAGTGATGTGATGTGTATATCACACAATTTTTTTTTTCCAATGACTTTTAATTTAACCAATGTGTTGAAAATAAAATAAAAATAATATACTTATTTCTGTTGATATAAAATTGTATATATATATAAATATAAATACTAATTTAGAATAATAAATGGACCTAAAAGTATCTTATAAAATAAATTGCAAATCCATGTTAAACAAATTTTATTAACTATGAAAAAAGCATAAGATAAACTTGTGCCTTCTTTTGCTTACATATATTTGAAATATTCATACAAATAAGAAAAATGTACAAAATAGATGTAAACTTACACATATTACCAACATTAAGTATGAAAATTAAAAAGAAAAATAAATGAGTTATATTTTAAACAATTATTTAGTTACTGCATAAAAGAACACAATAACGGTTGTAACATATGATATATATAGTAACATATAATATATATTTTCAGTGTATACGAAAATAAGTTAATTACTTAATATCTTATCAAAAAATGGAAGAGTAAAAACTTTTAGATCTTATAACCAGTACAAAAGTACATTGTAGTCAATATACTATTATTGTAAATAAATAAATACATAATATTAAATAATATTAATCGTATTTGATTATATTAGGTGTAGCCTAATAAATAAGATACTTTGATTACAACGTCATTGTATACAGTACGTACAAAAAATGACGCAATACATATCAATGTGCTCTAATTCTTTTAACAAAAAAATATTATTTTTAAATAGAATAAGAAACAAATAAAACGATAGTAATTCAATGGAAAAATGAAAAGTTTGAATTTTCTTAGAGAAATATGAATACCAATATCTAGAAACAAAAGCTTTTTAAAATTACTTCATTTTTTTCTAGCGTCTAAATATATGAACCCTGTAAGAAACTTTTTTTCTTATAAATAATGATCCTATATTGTCAAGAATTTAAATAATTAAGAAAATAAAAACTTTGTAATACATAATGTAAACTTTAATAATATATTGGTAATAATAAAGTTCACAGAGTGACTAAAAGTATCATAATATAATAGAATTTTAATTCTTCTCTTCTCAAATATTTTAACAAATGATATACTTCTTAATATTGTCTCATTGTTTTGTTTTTTTTTCCAAGAAAGGATCTTTATTTTGAATGTCCGAAGCATTATGTATGATGCAAAAAAAAAAAAAATGGTCAATAAAAGCATTAAAGAAGTTATTATGCACATAAGTACTGCAAATTCGAACGAATGTGAAAGATATTATATATGATAAACAACGCTAAAATCATTGCAACAACCAAGATGATCAATGATTTGCAAACACTAGATTATATAGTTCGTTTGTCGAAGCCTGATCAAAACATTCTTGAATGTTTGAATGAAATTGTCCCCTTTTTATAGAAATATTTATAATCTAATTGTGTATTTTGCTCAAACATATGTGCAATTACTTTACACTATGTACTTTCATGTAATGTGATAATGTCAAAAAGTAATTTAGCGTCTCGGGAGAAATACATGTAATTTTGGAAAGTCAACTTTTATTTGGAGATGAAATTCATTTTCACCCCATGGGACAATGCCTCCATGGGGTAGGTACCGATTTGCCTATATGGACATACTAATAAAGTTGTTTATACAATGATAACAAAAAATATATCAACAATTTAATAATACAGTTGGTTATTTTACAAAGATATCCATGAATTCTTAGTAGAAATACCTTAAAAGGATCATACAATCATGAAATTTGATTATATATTTGGCCAAAATATTTACAAGTGTTTGAATAAATTAGACGTTTTGTCAAACGAATTAAGACGAATTTGCAGTACGATTGATGTATTGGCTCCAACGATTATGAATGCTTTTTATGAAAACGTCAAAACGAAAAAAAAAAAACATTGTCTAATCATCTAACATAATTAAATAAAATAACTAATGCATTTATAATATACATTAGGTCCTTATTCAGATATTTAGTGTTTTTTCCCCGTTGGGGACTGTATTTTTCTTGGGGTTGTAATATGTTATTTCATTCTTTTTATATTAGGACATCATTATGTTATTTAAAAAAAAAAGTTAGAAGATTATTTGTTCTATATTTTATTTCGTTCATGCAATGATATGTTTAATAAATTAATTAATTTAATTTTACTAAATTGAATAGGTAAAAAAATTCACCACCACCTGCGATGCACGTGCACTTTACTAGTAATAATAAAGTTTACATATGACTAAGAGTATCATAGTATGATAAAATTTAAATTCTTCTCATCTGAAAGAATTTGACAAATGATATGCTTCTCAATATTGTCCCATTGTTCTTTTATTATTATTGAACAATCAAGAAAGGATCTTCATCTTGAATTTTTGAAGCACGAATGAATAAATAAGTTAAATAAATGCATTAAATAAGTTATTAGACATAAATATTGTAAATCCGAACGAATGTGAAAGTATTATGATAAGCAACTCTCTCAAATCATTGCAATAACCAAACTGTCCAATGATTTGCAAATAATAGGTTATGTAGTTCGTGTATATTTCAAATAGATAACACTAAAAAGGTAATGTTTGATTCTCATCAAAATATTTCGAATGTTTGAATAAGTTGTCACTTTTTTTATGGGAACATTTACAATCTTAATTGTGTATTGTGCTCGATCATATGCACAATTACTTTAGAGTACGTACTTTCATGCAATGTGATGATTTTAAAAAATAATTTAGCGTCTCCAGAGAAGTACATGATTTTGGAATGACACAGATTGTTATTTCACATAGATATTTATGAATTGTTAGTAAAAGTACCTTATAATGATCATATACAATCATAAAGTTTGACTATATGTTAGGCTAAAATATTTGTAAGTGTTGAATAAAACAGACGTTTTGTCAAATTAATTAAAAAGAATTTTGTAATACTACTGATGTATTGCCCTTCAACGAGTATGAATGATTATTATGAGAACATCAAAACTCAAAGGAAAGAAAATCTCTCATGAATCTAACATAAATAAATAAAAAAGTGCATGCATATTAATAGAGATGTTAAACGGCCCTTGACCCGACGGGCCGGCCCATTTAGTCCGAAAAAAATAGGGTTAGGGCTTTTTATTGGTAGCCCATTTAAATTAGGGCTTTTTAGGCCCGAACCATTTAAACCGAAGCCCGTTAGGGCTAGCACGAAAACCGCTAGGGCTGGCCCGTTTAACTTGAGTTGGTCGTTGTAAATGTTTGCGACAAGTAAGTAATATGATTTTAGATTCATTGTATATTACAATTTTTCTATTCCACTTCACATATAAGTATGAACTGTAACGAATTATAATGATTTTGAAATATAATTATTAACAATATTCTTATTGTACTCCACACTAAAAAAATTCAGTCAATCAGAACGATTAATAGAAAACACATGAGATAAATACCTAACACATGAAACGTAGTGATAGAATTTATAATAATATAATATCATAAAAATTTCTAAAGCGTACAAAATAAGTAGTAAAATGGTAATTGTAAGTAATAATTCGAATATTTTTTTCTTTTGAAAAAAGTATGTTATTTAAGAGTTTGTAGTGTGTGCTCATATATGATGTGTAATTGTATATATAGAGCGGTAAATACTAAATACCGTTGAAAACAATCGTTAATTAGTCGTTGTAATTTTTTTGTTTTTTTATTTTTATTTTTGATATTTTTTGATACATTATTTGTAATATCCCGTCAGTTTATTAGTATAAATCATGTTTTAATTCCGATATATTAATATTGTCGAGTATTAATTTTCGGAATTAATTATTTTCAGTCGAGATTACCCTAAATTATTTTCGACGTTCCGTTTACGTTCGGAATAATTTTGGTAATTAAGCATTATGTTTAACTAATAATTAAACATAATGAGTTGATTAATTAGTAATTAATCACAAGTTTAAATGGCAAAAGCCGTAAGGATTGTTCCCATTTTTCTTTCAATGTCGTACCAATTCCTTATTCAAGGGAAATATTTTCTTTTCCTTTAACTTGCATTTGTGTCATCATAAGAAGGTTAAGTGATGACTAATGGTTAATTATGATGACTAAGCATTTGGTTTAGTAGGTGTCATTTGATGGTGAAGACACCAAATCATTCATTATCCCAAATCTCCATTCGGTCACCACCATATATATAGGTTATAAGTTGGAGATTTTGGCTCCATTTCTCCATATAGTTCAGCATATATATATATATATATATATGTTGTGAGATAGAGAAGTTAGTGAGATTGAGAGGGAGATAGCACCGCACGCACGTAAGCCACCGCATAGCATCGCACGCCCCGCACGCCGAGAGATTGTAGCGCACGCGTAAACGCCGCACTGAGCGGAGTTTATTGAGTATAATCGGAGGTAATTTCCGTGTGAGTATAAGCTGATATTAGCATATTTTTTAAGTCCAATGTTCAGTTCAAGTTCGTATGCGTGTCGCATATTGTTTCGGTCGTGCGAGTAGCCGTGTCGAGTCATGTTATGTTTTAAGTCAAATTCTCCGAACAACCTTCGCATGTCTAGTCATTTTATGTGATATCATGTTCAGTCGAATGGTTTTTGTTCGAGAAAGGTTCATGTTTTGGCTCGGTAGTTAGGCCATGGGATGCGTGTTGTTATGTGATTTCTAACAACGATGTAACACGTAATTAAGATGAGAATTATGAATGATTTGGACGTAAAGCATGTAAAGTAACTTCAACGATGGCCCCGGTCCGAGGTGAACCGAGGTGAAGAGCCGTGATGGGCTTTTACGTGTTGCTTAATAAAGTTTTTTCAGTTCGGAGAGAGATCCCCGTACAAATTTCATGGGTCCACTATTTATAGTAATTTTGGGTAGATACATTGGGATGTGCACTACTTTTTGAATAAAGTAACTTTTTGTGGGCGGTTTGGAGCAGTGGGTCCCACATAAATGATGACAGATTTTGTGGAGCGGGATGGTTGCGCGTAGGTGCCTTGTCACCTGCTTAAGGAGGTGGCGATTTCGGTTTAAATAGACCTCGGTAGGTGCTGACCACTTCGGTCTTCGGTAGTTCGGTCCGGTTCATCGCCTGGACCGGGGTGGTGTCAAATCACGTCGGTTCGATGGTCATCTTCCTCTTAATGTGATGTTTGGAATCTCTTAATGGTGTTTTGCCGAATCGGATGATAACAGAGAGGCCCCCAATATCGGTGGGCATACGGAGTGATGGTCATCGATGTTGCCATGCCAGACATTTGGAGGCCCTGGATCGGTAAAAAATCAGCGGCCGGGTGTTTATTACCTTCGGAGGGTCGTCTTTGGTCTCTTGGCCGACGTAACCGAGGTAACCGAGGTGAGTTACTTGTCTGAAGTGTAGACTGTATTCCGAGGTGAAGACACTTTGAATTCTGAATATATGCAGGCAGTCGTGACAGGAGAAAGGTGAACAGTCATAACGGTCAACGATTTAATGCTTAGACTGAACGGTCGCGCCGTAATGGTCTTAAATGAGGTAATGGTCGGCTTTAATAGGTTGCCACGTGTAACGGTAGGTGTCTTATCAGACGAAGAGG